CTATACCAGGGGTCTTCAAACTTGGCCCTTTTATGACTTGTGGACTTCAACTCCCAGAATTCCTCAACCAGGCATGCCTGGGGCATGCTTGGCTGAAGAATTCTGGGAGTTGAAGTCCACAAGTCATAAAAGGGCCAAGTTTGAAGACCCCTGCCCTATACCATTTCAATCTCACTAGTTAAGTTGGAAGAGTTAGGTTTTTTAAAGGGTCAGATGTAATTATTTGTTCCTAAGTGCACTCAGTTTGATTTTTATTGTTTTGGGCATACTCATTATATCACTTCCCATGAAGACAGTCCTGGAAGTGACAGTTTGATAGAGGCTGCTATCAAATCATGAAGACTGGAAAAAGGTGACATCTGGTGTCATCAGGAAATGGTGACAACTCTAACTGAAAGTGATAATCCGTTTGTGGAGGCTTAAATGGGATTAAGGACTAGAACAGTGGTTCTCAACCTGTGGGTCGGGACCCCATTTGGGGTTGAACGACCATTTCACGGGGGTCGCCAAACAAGGCTGTCCGCCATTTTTTCCCCCTTTTCTTTGGCCACGCCCCTGGCACCCGGTGATGTATAAGTGGTTGGGGGTCACCACAACATGGGGGACTGTATTATGGGGTCGCGGCATTAGAAAGGTTGAGAACCACTGGACTAGAATATAAGCCACGTTTGAAGGCTTAGGCGGTCTTCAGCTATTGTGGCTGTGAAGCCATGAGTGTGTTGCTTCCTGGTCTGAAGGGGTAAATCCAGAAATCCCATCCATTTGATTGGAAATATTTGACTCAAATATTTGATCGGGAAGTAATTCAATGGAACTGCATCTCCAAACTAAATCACTGAAGCAAACCAGCAGATGACTTCAAAATTTGAAGATTCAATGGCTATTTTGAGCACGAGGAAACAAGCCTTTTCTCCATTGGCTTGAAAATCCAATTCAAATGATTCAATTCAATTCAATTCAATGGATTTGCTAACCTGAGTTAAAGGTGAAATTGAGCACAGTGAAAAAATTAATCAGTGGAATGGTTTCCCTCCAAAAGTTGTGGGTGCTTCATCACTGGAGGTTTTAAAGAAGAGACTGGATGGCCATTTGTCTGAAATGGTATAGGGTCTCCTGCTTGGACTAGAACAGGGGTCTGCAACCTTGACAACTTTAAGACTTGTGGACTTCAGCTCCCAGAATTCCTCAGCCAGCAAAGCTGGCTGAGGAATTCTGGAAACTGAAGTCCACAAGTCTTAAAGTTGTCAAGGTTGCAGACCTTTGGACTAGAAGACCTCCAGAGTCATTTCCAACTCTGTTATTCTGTTAAGTCTGATTAATATCCCCAATTTAAATTTGATTAAGGGTTCCAAATCTCCATTCCTTTATTTGCTTCTATTTGGGGTTTTTCAGAGGGGGAAAAAAAGAAGAAGGAATAGCCAAATTCACAGGCAGAAAACTACCAGATGAAAAACAAGAGACGTGCTGCTGGCTTCAACAACAGTGTAGAAAAGGAGACAGCCCTGCGGTTACGTAATGGATTCATTTTTCATCCAATCACCAGAGGGAGAGAACGTAAGGCTACTATGAATGAGAGGGAGAAGAAAAATTAAAGTTCCATATTGGAAATTGGACTTCAGAAGGATACTGTCTCCAAAAAGTAATCTTGTTAAATCCAGCAAGCAGATGCCATTCAGCCAAGCTGTAATTCCAGCTGAGCTAAATTCATCAGCTATAACTGGAAAGAGTGTTTTAATGAAGAGAAAGAGAGGGGGGGGGAGGGAGAGATCATTTAAGTAATCACTTTGGTCATGCCACTTATTATTTCCTCTAGGGCTTTAACTACTGAAAGTTTGTGTAACATTGGCTAGCATCCTTTCGGCAGTGAAAATAAGGGACTGGAACTGAATAATTAGCAGGAATCTTTTAAGGACTCCCATGTTTTATAGAATAGAATAGAGCTGGAAGGGACCTTGGAGGTCTTCTAGTCCAGCCCCCTGCTCAAGCAGGAGAACCTATACCATCTCAGACAGATGATTGTCCAGTCTCTTCTTAAAAATATCCAGTGATGTTAAGCTGGTAAGCTGTTCCACTGGTTGATTGTCCTCACTGTCAGGAACTTTCTCCTGAATTCCAGGTTTGTTTGTTTGTTTATGAGACTTATATACCGCTTTAAGTGCAAGCACTCTCTAAGCGGTGTACACCAGTAAGCAATGTATATATATATTTACATTGCCCCCAACAATCTGGGTCCTCATTTTACCTACCCCGGAAGGATGGAAGGCTGAGTCAACCTTGCTTCTCCCTTTTGTCAGTTTCCAACCATTGTTTCTCATCCTTCCCTCAGGTGCTCTGGTGAACAACTGACCCCCTCATGAACAGTCCCAGACTCAGGAATGTCATTTAGCAGTGTTAATCTCTACATGGCTCACTCAGTCTTCAAATACCTGCAGATTCCTTCCTTCCTTCCTTCCTTCCTTCCCTGCAAACTCTGCCAGTTCCAGATCCAGACAGAAATCACACCGGAGAGGGGGAAGAGAGTGAAAAAAATCAAGACGGCAACCATGAATGAATGTTTGCAGCCAACACCTGACTTTTATGACACAACCAACATACCCAGAATGCCCTGGAGTTGCACTTTATTGGGTGATGGTCACCTCTGGTCTTTGAGGTTACCCAAGAACACACAACTCTCTTTCAAAGCATTCCAACCATCTGTAGCAATAGCAGTGACATTTAGACTTATATACCGCTCCACAGTGCTTTACAGCCCCCTCTAAGTGGTTTTCAGAGTCAGCATGTTGCCCCCAAAAACCTGGGTCCTCATTTTACTGACCTTACATAAGGATGAAAGACTGAGTCAACTTTGAGCTGGTCAGGATCGAACTCTTGGCAGTGGGCAGAGTCAGCCTGCAATGCTGCATTCTAACCGTTGCACCATCACGGCACTGTAGCTACTGATCCAGTCTTGAAATATACACTACAGTAAGCGCTACATTGCAGGATCTGGGGAATTTGTCAGAACATTGAAAACAGTGCTGTGATGCCATAATGCTGTTTTTACCATTCCCCTCTCCCTCTTTGACCACCCCTGAAGATCCTTCTGCTGCAGAGCTCCTTGGCCCCTGGCCCAGTTAACGTGGACCCTCTGAAGAATCTTAACTAGACACGATTATGGAGGAGCAGTTGAACTGCGTACATCCTTGTCCAAATGCATTGCTTCTCAAAAGAGCAATACACCCACAATTCAATCTTTTTGCATACAGTTTTTTGAAACAACCTGATTAAATTTGGTCTCAGGTGGTCTCCTCTCTGCTGGTCTTGGCAGTTCCAGCAAGGAAAGGAAGAACATCATCCTCGGAGCTGTGTTCCTTCCTGCCCATCGTTTTTGCCAGCCAAAACTTGCAGAGTTTTGACTCCAGCCTCCCCAGCCTGATGGGTTTTGAAATAAGATTTTTCTTTTCTTCACTTCTGCTCTGGGTCCCATGGAGTTGTTAGCAATTAATCAGTACAAAACTGGCCACCTGATCGATATAACTCTCTGATACGTATGTATAATCTTTTCTCTCTTGTGAGCATCCTACACAAGTCAGCAGGGATTAAAAAAGAAGTGGGAATCAACCTAACATTTTAAATAAACTTTCTCTCTTTTTCTTTTTATATAGATACAGATATATTTAAAGCCCACTGTATAAACACTGTACAATACGAAATAATTACAAATTAATTATGTTAAGCTACAAGGTATGACTTGATAATTAATCAGACAATATGCATAGCTTGGGCCTCCTTGCTAACATGGCTTCTTCTGGGTCAGCTCCATTACCCCGGTTGCTCAGCCGCTCCGACTAATTGTCCGGTATTATTGTCTAATTATCTCTCGCTTAAAACCCAGAAGAGTCTCAAGCAGCTGACAACCTTTATACCTCCAACTAACGGCACACCTTGCTGGGTTATTTCCTACGTCTGACCTATCTTAAGGTTGTAAATACAGATGGTTCTTGACTTATGGCCACAATTGTGCCCAAAATTCCACTGTTAAGTGAGGGTTTGTCAAGTGAGTTTTGCCCCATGTGACCCTTCTTGCCACAGTTGTTAAGTGAATCCTTGCACTCGTTAAGCTAGTCACCCGGTTGTTAAGTGAATCCAGCTTCCCGTCGACTTTGCTTGTCAAAAGGCCGCAAAAGGGGATCACATGATTCCTCAGGACTCGGCGACCGTCATAAATATGAGTCAGTTGCCCAGCGTCTGAATTTTGATCACGTGACCCCGGGGATGCTGCAAAGGCCGTAAGTGTGAAAAATGGTCGTAAGTCCCTTTTTTCAGTGCCATTGTAACTTCGAACGGTCACTAAATGAACTGTTGTAAGTCGAGGACGATCTGTAATGATCTAGTTCACTGCGGATCTGACATCTGGACTCAAGAATCTGCCGGATGCTAAATCAGAATTTCTCAACCTTGGCAACATTAAGAGTTGGTGGACTTCAACTCCCAGAGTTCCCTAGCCAGCCTGCAGACGCAGCAACTGAGGCGTGGGTGTTCTACAGGTAAAGCCGATCCTTTATCCCTCTCTAGCCAATCTTCTGCCATCTTCTCTGTCCAATCTTGTACTTTGACAATGAAGAAAGTTACAGGCCCTCTCAATTCCTGGCAAATAGATGGGGAAGAAATGGAAGTAGGGATAGATTTTATCTTCCTGGGTTCCAAGATTACTGCAGATCGCGATTGCAGCCAAGAAATTAAAAGACGCTCGCTCCTGGGGAGGAAAGCTATGGCAAATCTAGACAGCATACTAAAAAGCAGAGACATCACCCTGCCAACAAAAGTGCGTATAGTCAAGGCAGGTTGTCCTTGATTTGCAACAGTTCATTTAGTGACCATTTGAAGTTGCAACAGCACTGAAAAAAGTGTCTCACGACTGTTTTTCACTCCTATGATTGTTGCAGCATCCCCCAAGGTCACGTGGTCAAAATTTAGACACTTGGCAACTGGCTCATATTTATGATGGTTGCCTGGGGTCATCTGACCTCCTTTAGTGACCTTCTGAAAAGCAAAATTAATGGGGAAGCCAGATTCACTTAACAACCATGTTGTTAACTAACTGCAGTGATTCCCTTAACGACCGTGACAAGAAAGGTGGTAAAATGAGGCAAAATTCACTTAGCAACTGTCTCACGTAGCAACAGACCTGTCGTCTGTCGAGAACTGCCTGCACAAGCTACGTGGATCCCACCTCCCTGCAGATTTTCTCGGAGAGCCTTCACTGACCTCTTAAGAATGATTGGAGGTCCATGAACGTAATTTCCGTTATTCTCCCTTGGTTGACAAAGGCAAACCAATTTAGGCAAGATGTACACATACAAAAATAAATAAATAAATTGCATATGCCAAAAACGGAGAGACAGACATCGTCCTTAACGTGTCTCAGCAATGGAAACATTTTAAGTTGATCTTGATTGTCAAAGGAGAAAAGCAGACTCTTCCTGTTATGCAAACTCCTGCATGCTTTTTATTATAATCCGGGGCCAGAATTTAAGAAGGGTGACAAAGCAACCTCAAACCTGCAAAGTCTCAGGGTGTTCTTTCACTTTAAAACAGGGGTCTCCAAACTTCGCCCCTTTAAGACTTGTGGATTTCAACTTCCAGGATTCCCCAGCCAGCATGGCTGGCTGGGAATCCTGGGAGTTGAAGTCCACAAGTCTTAAAGTTGCCAGGTTTGGAGATTCTAGCTTTAAAAGAATGCGCTGATTTCTTGGGACCAAAGGGGCTTATTCTAAGGAAAGAATAGAGAGAATAGGGCTGTGCGATGCTTTGAATACAATGCCCCAAATTGCTTCAAAATACATTGGGGTCTGAACCCAAGACTTAAAACAAGCATTAAAGCAGCCCCTAAATAGGAAGCTACTGTGGATCAACCTCTGCAGCAGATGTGCACGCTTGAAAAAAGATACAGTTGTATTAATGAGCCCCAGAGAGGCCTGTATTTGGGCTCCTACTTACACTGAAGCAACTTTTCAAATCTTGCATAGCCGTAAATCAAAACTGGACCTCAGCGCTCGCTCAAATTAAACCCAAAAGCTGTGAAAAACAATGAATCTGGGGGCAGTTTACAGCCTCACGCTCATCTAATTTAAAAAAAAATTAGGTGATCTACAAAATACAAAAAAAAAAAAAATCCAAAAAGACATAAAAGAAAAACGCAAAACACAAAGCAATCAGAACATTAAAAATGGGCGGGTGTACTTTGTTACACTTTTTTAATGTTCTGACTGCTTTGTGTTTTGTGACCTCCCCCCCCCCCCGTTTTGTATTTTAGTTTGGTATTTTGTATTTTAACTTTATTCTGAATAAAATAAAAAATATAAGTAAAAAAAATAGGTGATCTTAGGAGAGAGGCATTGGCACTTGTTTTCATTCACTGCCAAATACTGATATATTTTTTAAAAATTACCATTATAATCCTATGTACATTTAGCGAATGTAAGCCCAACGAAACTCAATCAGGACTTACTTCCAAATAGGCACAACTACTACAAAATTAGGTACTTATGAAAAGTGTATGAATATCAACTTACTTTGGTGGGAAATTTTAATTTTCAAGGCTGCTCAAGGATTTTAGGATGATTAAATCAGGAGGGAAAAAATATACAGTTAGCATCTTTCTGGAAACAAAGGTGCACTTAAACCCATCATGCTCCATTGGTGATGGTTGACATTTTTATCCTGTTTGGTTATATCAGCTCAAAAATCAGAATTTTCCAGTTATTATTTTGCAAACATTTTTTTCTGGGCACACAAGCCATTTTACAGTAATTCTGTTTCTAGTTCTTCACAATTAGGGGGGGAAAAGGGGTGGGGGGAAGGAGATGGAGCACTTTCTCCATGGCAATATTGAGAATATAGATCAGAATGCAAAATAACTCAGCAAATTAATTGTTGGCCAGGTTCTGTCAATGCCTTGGACATTTGAAACTCTTATGGTTAGAAACATTCACGGCTCACTATCCACACGGTCGCCTGGGTGAAAAAATGATTAAAGTGGGGGAAAGAAATATTCAATCTTCCCACTAAGTAGAGTCAGAATATTCTTCTGGAGAACAGGGGATTTATCTTTTCTACAAGTAGAGTCAAAAGAGCTTGCACTGCTGAATCACCTCCCACAATGGCTGCTCATGTGGGATTTGTTCTCAAACCCCCTTGGTCATGTTGAATTGGGATTGTTTGTCCTTTGTCCAGCTACTCTACTGCCTTCTTTTGCTGAGCTTATTTTTAGGCTCGTCCCAACTTAATCATTTAGAAAAGAAGGCCCTTCAACTCCCAACTCCAAGCTCTTCCTACTGGCCATAATATGGCTTGCAAAATAAACCATGGCTCATAGAATCCTATGCCATTAGGCTGTTTCCCTAGGTGAGGTCCTAAGGATGTGTGGATTCAGGCTCTCGTAAGCTGCAGTTCGCACAGCCAATGGCTTTGCAGGCTGGGGACTATGGTTATGATCAGCAGGTTGGGGAAGTGTGAAATCTACCGTCATCCTGTTTTTCCCCTTTCCCTTGTAAAGTGCTAGTAATTTGTCCCAGTCATTTTGCTTTCTGGAGCTCAGCTGAAAGTGCTAGAAGCAATGGAGAAAAACTCACGGATGATTTACATCCTTCTAACTTTGGAAACCACATTATTGGACCTTCGATAGAGGGAAAGTCTCTCTTCCCACCCCTTTCCATGCTCGCTGATGAATGGGTCTCTCTGGAAAGAGCATTTGCTTCAATTTATCCCCGTGGTCTCTCAGTGATAGCTCTCTAAATCTCTCAGGCCCAGGCTCAAATTGTGAGCGGGGAATGAATTTCATGGCTGCAAAGGGCCCCTCCTGGTATGGTTTAGGCCAGGGGGAGGGAAGACCGCTCCATTTTTCCAGCATGTTGAAAAAAACTCAGATGCCATTTTCACCAGTGGGTCTTCTCCTCCCCCACCCCACCCCAACCGTCCGTTTCGAAAAGTCAGGATCCCCAATGCCCGTCCGCCCACAAAGAGGCCACCTTAAAACATTGTCAACAACACAACATGGCACAAAAGCAAAGCTCCTGAAGACTGAGCTGCTTGGAGCAGCTGTGATTTACCTGCCAAGAGGCCCGAGTCGCCTAGGCCCTGTGGCAGAAAGGTGGCAGGGAAAAACCCCGGAGGTCTCCCCCCCCCTACTGCCCCAAAGGCAGCCCACAGCCCCCTTCTCTAATCGGACCACTCATTCTCATCCAGCTCCGAGTCGTCGTCTGATTCGCTGTATTCCACAGCAATCCTTCGGGACAGGATCGTGGCCACATCGTTCCCCACCGGCTCTTTCTTGGCTTCCTGTTCCCATTGCTCTTGGACTTTGCGCAGCTGAATTCCTGGGAGGGGGAAAAAGGAAGGTTTTTCTCCACGCCAGCCTAAGGGAGCCGATGCGTGGCACCGGTTGATCCAGTAAGCTCAAGTTGAGGTCTTGGACTGGCTTTGTCCCTTCTGCGTGATGCTTTTGGTCTAATGCAGGGGCCTCCAAGCATGGCAACCTTAAGACTTCTGGATCCAACTCTCTCAGCCTGAGAGGCCAAGCGAAGGAGGACATTGCGGGCTCCTACTTCGGGAAGAGAAGGCATCTGATCTCCATCAGCAGCAACTTGCCACGGCCAACTCCCTATGGAACAAGGCGCCGTGGCCAACTTGCTGCGAAACAACTCACTGCAGGGAAAGAATTACACTAATATCCAAGAAATGGTGAAGCAGAATCATGAAAGAAAGAATGCCAAAGGAGAGACAAAATGAAATGTGAATGATAAAAATTAAAATAATCTTCTCATTATTTTAAATAGTTAAATTGAATGGTTAAATTGTCCTGTGGTGAGTTGTCTCATGGCAAGTTGGCAATAGCAAGTTGACTTATACGCCGCTTCACAGTGCTTTACAGCCCCTCTTTAAGTGGTTTACAGACTCAGCCTATGGCCCCCAACAATCCGGGTCCTCATTTTCCCGATCTCGGAAGGATGGAAGGCTGAGTCAACCTTGAGCCCATCAGGATCGAACTGCTGGCAGTGGGCAACGTGTTCGCCTACCATTCTGCATTCTAACCACTGTGCCACCATGGTGAACTGACGATGACAAGATGACCATGGCGAGCTGGGCGTGGCAAGTTGTCCCACTCTGCCCCTTGGTTTGGGGGACAGGATGAAGTTCTCCTAATTTGGCTTCCTTGGCCAACTGCCTCCAGGGTCACTAAAGTCCATCAGCTCCAACTCTGCAGGTACGTCCAAACCACAGGCAAAGCCGAGGCATTTACTCACCCCGGCGGATGGCAGCAAGCAGGTCACTCCTGGCATCGGTCATTGGAATCAGGGGCACCGGCGGCTTCCGGGATTCCACCATCACGGCCGGCGGCGAGACTGTGTGTGCGGGGGAGGCCGAGATGGTGGGGGGGCCAGGGGGTGGAGGGGGAGGTGCAACAGGAGGTCCCATGGGGCCAGCCTGGGGAGGAGAGGCAGAATAGGGGCAGGGCACAGCAGGGGGAGGGGTCGGCACGTAGGTGGCGTGGCTAACGGAAGGGGCCGCATTGGGCGTCATGGCGGAAGGTGCTGAGATGGGGCTGTCGAAGGCAGTTTGAGCAGAGGGGATGACTGGGGGTGGGGGCGGAGGTGCAGGCGGCACAAAGTAGTCTGCCATTGGCACTGGTTGAGGACTGCAAAGAGAGAGAGGGAAGGAGATCACCAGAGGGCAAGACTGTTCTATCCCAGCCTATAGCCATTAAAGGCACAAGGACCAAACCCCTGTTGATACAATAGGCTGGAGACTTTAAAACAAAACAAATTCCTTTTAATATGAGTGACAAACCTGCCAAATAGTCCAAAACATAAACAGCAAAACTCAAGTCCAAGTGAAGGAAATAGTCCACAGGAAACACGATGCAAACAGAAGAGAAGTCATAAGCAAGACAAACAGACCAGGATTCCAAGAAGCACTTTGCAAACGGTTGCCTTCAGCAACCAGCACCACCCACACCTCCTCTTTTTATACAGCAGTCCCAAGGCGTTGCCTCTCAGTGCCTTCTCCTTTTACCCTGGAGTTGCCGTATTGACTGCTGCTGATTTACTCTCGCTAATTGACGACGTGTGCATGTACCAATTAGCATGTCCATCAGCTGTGAGTCCTCCGAGTCTGACTCATTCTCCTCACACAGCTGAGCTTCATCAGGAACACGACTGGATGGCCCAGGCTCTGCATCAAACTGTGAGTCCAGTAATTCATCAGAGCCTCCCTCTGCCCCTGATGGCCCTTCAAATGCCTCCTCCACCTCCTCCTCAGATTCCTCAGACTCAGCTGTTGGAAGCACAGGCTGGCATGGAATCACAACAAAGACAAGAAATGATGGGGGGAAGCTAATTAAGGAGAGAAGCAACCAAGAACTAAGGAGAAACTTCCTAAGAGTGAGGAGAATGAACCAGTGGAACAACCTGCCTCCAGAAGTTGTGGGGGCTCCAACACTGGAGGTCTTTAAGAAGAGACGGGACAGCCGTTTGTCTAGAATGGTATACGGTCTTCTGCTTGAGCAGAGGGTTGGACTAGAAGACCTCCAGGGTCCCTTCCAACTCATTCTGTGTTCTAAGTAATTCCATCAAAATAAAGGCATTTCATGGGAGGGAGGAAGCTGTCTGGTCTGCATGGTCCTCCAAAGCAAAGGTCCCCAACCTCTTGGGCATCAGGGACCAGCTCCAGGTGGACCGGAGGGGGTGTGGTTTTGCGTACTGCCTGCATCCTGTGGATGGGCCTTTGCTTGTTTGTGCAGCCCAGTTGCTGGCATGCTGCGGACCCGTGCCGGTCCACGGACCGGGGGGTTGGGGACCCCTATCCCAATGCATAAAATCCCTGAGCCAGAAAACTAAGTGAGATGTCCTAGCAGGCTCCCTTTGCCCAACTTCCTTTCTCTTTTTCCTGTACAGCTGGGAAGGCCTGCGGGTGGGGGAGGGGGCTCAGAAGTCAAGACTGCAGCCGCCACCCAGTGGTTAAAGCCCCCCACCCTCTCCGCTTCCCTTTCTGCTCTTTTTGGCTTTTGCGAGGCAAAGTTCGCGACGTTACGGGTCGTCTTCGACTTACGACTACAATGGATCCCAAAGTTTCTGTTGCCAAGTGAGACATTTGTTAACCAAACGTTGCCTCCATTTAACGAACTTTCTTGTCATTTGTTAAGGCAGGGGAAGGTAACCTTGGCTCTTTTGTGACTCGTGGACTTCAACTCCCAGAATTCCTGAGCCAGCCTTGCTGAGGGGAAAGGGAGAGGTTTCCAAGCTGAGCCGTGCTGGCTCAGGAATTCTGGGAGTTGAACTCCACAAATCATAAAAGAGCCAAGGTTGCCTACCCCTGATCTATCTCTATCTGAATCCCTATGCCTAGGCCAGGGGTAGGCAACCTTGGCTCTTTTATGACTCATGGACTTCAACTCCCAGAATTCCTGAGCCAGCATGGGGGAAACTTTGACTCTTTTATGACTCGTGGACTTCAACTCCTCAAATCACAACAGTTCCCTTGATGACTATTCAAAGTCACGACAGCACTGAAAAAAGTGACATGACTATTTTCGCATTTCTGACCGTTGCAGCATCCCCAGAGCCACGTGGTTTACATTCGGATGCTTGGCCACTGACTCACATTTATGACGGTCGGAGTGTCCCGGAGAATTTGCGACCTTCTGACAGGCAAAATCAATGGAGAAGCCAGATTCACTTAACAACTGTGTGACTGATTTAACAACTGAAGTGATTCACTTAACAAGTGCCACACGAAAAGTTGTAAGACTGGGCGAATCTCACTTAGCAAATGTCTCGCATAGTGACATAAATTTTGGGCTCAGTGGTGGTCATAAAGGAGGACTATCTGAACCTCAGAAGCTCTGCCATTGTTGAAGACCTGGAGGAATTTGGTAAGGAAATCTCTCTAAAAGGATGATTTAGCAGATCACAGGTTGTCCAGTATAAAATAGCCTTAGCTGACTAGATTCCTTTCTGCCCTTTGAGCCTTAAATCGCCCATTTCCTTGATTTAGAGAGAAGCTTCTTAAGGCCAGAAGGTTCAAGCTTTCTAAATCTATTGACTGTCCTTTAAAGCTTTTTGTTTCATGCAACCAATGCATTTTAATTCCGCATAATCAATGAACGCAGATGTGTTCTAATATTTTCTCCTTTTGTCTCTAGGCAGGGAAAATAAAGGTCAAGGCTTTTTCTATGTTTATGTGATCCAAGGACTGTTGCTTATCTTAAAATACATGGCTGTCTTTTGCTGCGTACAAGGTAATGACCTTAGACGATGTTCTAACCAAAAAAGGCCAGTCTTTTTCCTGCAAGAAGCCATTTCTCTACAGATGAAGATATCTCTTGGCTACCTTTAAATATGATGAGGAATGGACTGCTCAAAAGATTTCCAAGAAAAGATTGGACAGCCATTAGTCCAGGATGGCATAGAATCTCCTGCCTTGGCCAGGAGGTTAGACTAGAAGACCTCCAAGGTCTCTTCAAGCACTAGGAGTCTATGAAATACTCTCTGAAATCCACCATGCATATTTGTCTACTGCAGGGGCCCCAGCCCCCAGCCCACTATTGGGCCACGGCCTATTTGGAATTGAGTGGCTGGCAGAAGTGCGTGTGCACGTACACGCAACTCATCTTGCATGAGTGGCAGGCTGGCCTGCATGCATGCAAGTGCCCACAGGTTGAGCTGCGCGCACACAGCCCATTTGGAATAAGAAATAGACCAGTAGTGGGCTGCAGCCCCGGGGTTGGGGACCCCTGGTCTATAGCATCAACTCAGGCTGCTCTCCATGGTCCTGATATTTCCCCCCCCCCAAATATTTACCATGGAATTGCTGTTTTACTTAGAACATAGAATACAGAACATAGAATAATACAGTCGGAAGAGAACTCTGAGGTCTTGTAGTCCAACTCCCTGCTTGAGCAGGAGACCCTACACTATTTCAAACAAATGGTTGTCCAGTCTCTTTTTAAAAGCCTCCAGTGATGGAGCACCCACAACTTCTGAAGGAAAGCTATTCCATTGGTTGATTGCTCTCACCGTTAGGAAATTTCTCCTTAGTTTCAGGTTGCTTCTCAAATAAACATCAATTTATGCATATTTGGCCATGGCCAATGCTATGCATGTCATAAGTGTAGCATCAACACGGAAATACAAATGGACAGAAGCATTGGACTTTTCCCCTTTCATGCCTGTTCACCTTCAAGTCCTGATGACTATGTAGTGTATAGGGCAGGACAAAAGGAAGGGTGTCTGCCAAGACACTGCTCAGATAAGAGTGGCCTAAACCTGGTCCAAGAAGGTAACTTGAGAAAACATTTCAAACAAGCTAGAATTGACTTGCTCTTAAAGCACAATTGCACAACACTAGCTTATTAGGCGAGGCTCAACTTATTATGTGAGGTTCAACTACATTTCTGATGCTTTTAAATTATTTGGGTCCTTAATGGGAAGATTCCCCTTTAGGTCCTACATCCTTGTAATTGTGCCTTGTTTAACAAGGGAAGCAACCTTCCATGCATTCTCTTACGTTCTCCTTCCCTTTTGGCCTGTGGACATCTTTCTATTGTAAAAAGAAAGGTTTTAATTGGGAAGAAACCAATAATTGAAATTCTGCTGAGCAAAAGAAATGGAACAATTAAAGGGTAATTAGGGAATCCGTTTATCGATACTGACATGACTGCACTGAAAATAAATCAATTAGAAGTGGAAGGACCAGGGAGAAGGCTGGCAGTTAAAGTTGTAGAATAATATAACATTAAATTCTTTGCAGAATGGGAGACTTTTTAAATTCCATCTAAAGGAATGCAGAAATGCAATGCATCACCAGCATTTACTAGACCAGTGGTTCTCAACCTTTCTAATGCCGAGACCCCATAATATAGTTCCCCATGTTGTGGTGACCCCCAACCACTTATACATCAGTGGGTGCCAGGGGCATGGCTAAAGAAAAGGGGAAAAAAATGGCGGACAGCCTTGTTTGGCGACCCCCGTGAAATGGTCGTTCGACCCCAAATGGGGTCCCGACCCACAGGTTGAGAACCACTGTACTAGACAGTCTAATACAGAAACAAGCTCCGTGAGAAATTTGTAGATTGGTTTTATTAAAATATAAATCACTTCCTCAGCCCACCTAAGGAAATAATTCACATTTTAAAAAACTATTGTGTTCAAATGTCCTGAATCAATCTGCCAATGATACACGCGCTTTGTGAAACATTTCATTAAAAAAACAAACTTTAAGATGTAAAAATTCACATATTGGAGAAAATGGGCATAAAACATATAAAAGAGAATCAAATTGTATAATGAAAAGACTTTAAAAAAATGCCTGTTTCAATAAAATAGATAACATGCGTCATGTTCAAACAAAAGCATACAAAAATCCCTAATAGGTTTCATGCCAGGGATTAAATTGATGTGGAAACGAAAGGGAACAAATTTACAATAAGAACAATGAGAAATAATGAAACGCAATCATTCTGCTTTGCCTTGGAACACAAAAATGCTGGTTGAACGATTCCCCATAGCAACTGCTTCTCAGCAGAGAAATCCCTGCCTTTGTAGCCGTGAAAATCTACATTCTTGTAAATTCACTCTGGGCCAAAATGTGTTGTTGCACTTCCTAAGAGGAAGCCTTCATCCTGGAAGATAAATGGGTCCCTGTCTGGAGGCAGGGATCAGAGGAAGCTGGTGGAGAAAATCGCTCCCAAACTTCCGGTTTGCCATCGCGGCAGCTGCAGCTGCTGGAAGGTGAGCTCCGTCTTCTGCGTTCGGTTTCGCTCTGCTGGGGGACCCTGGAAAGGGTCGAGAGTCGCCCTCTAGGGGCGACAAGCAAGGAGGGGACCCCCGCCTGATCGCGGGAGGGAGGTAGCCCTTCCGCTCGATCCGGGGCAGCCCTCCAAACTGGTGGACGAAAGACCAGCTATAGAAATATGGCTCGTCACTAGGCTGCAGACAACTTATCACCAGGGACTTCTAAAATAGCGCAGATGAGACTGGGTGAGATCTGAACCTCTCTTTAATCCCAAGTATTTTCTTTACCTGTAAAAGCTGTCCAAAGTATCATTCCCCCTGTGAGAGGGAACAGAACTTCTATTCCACCCTCTAAGAATAGCAGCGACTGACTATCGAGGGGAGAAAACACTGAAAGAATAACCTTAATCTAACTGGATTTATATGCTTCTAAAATTTGGGGACCAAAAGATTTCTTATCTTTACTGAAGACTTTGGTTTTTATTTACAAAAAAGAAATAAAATTGGAAAAAGGATTATTAAAATTTTGGACTTAAAAAAAAAAACCTTAAACGGTATTGGTGACATCTTGTGGACAAGTTTGATATTGCAACTTGTTATTGTCTAAAGGAGACTTGGCTTGAAGCCCAGATTACAGATAAGACTTTTTCAACCTTGACAAATACCAGCTGTGAGAAGCTCAGCTGTGTCCTATACCCAGTTATAAAATTATTTTCATTCTCTGTCTTTAAAGCCCTCAACACACCATCAAGAGAATATGGATGAAGACCAAGAACAGATTCTTTTTACGTTGAAAGTAATACATGAAACCATTCTTTCAGCTTGTGATGAAATAAGATGCTACAGAAAAGAACAAAATGTCAGCCTAGATACAACTAGAGACATCACTGTTTATGACCTTTGGTTGGGGACCACTGAAAGATCCCCAGGATTATGGACCAAACAGCAGTCCTGTTTTACCCTAAGATACAAATCTCCCACTATACCAGTTGGCTGAAATCATGAGCACACACCAGGAGGGACCTTCCTATGCTCCTACACAACAGGTATGATTTAATTTCTCAGGACAGTCAAGAGTTATCTTCCATCAAAGGATATAACTCTAGGTCAGGGGGTCTCCAAACCTGTCAACTTTAAGACTTGTGGATTTCAACTTCAGCTCCCAGAATTTCCCAACTATGCTGGCTGGGGAGTTCTGGGAGTTGAAGTCCATAAGTCTTAAAGTTGTCAAGTTTGGAGACCCCTGCTCTAGGTGGTATTTTCTAATGGTGATATCAGGGCATTGAATCTTTATTTGGGGCCCACCCATACATACATGGCAAAGAAAGGGGTTATAATCTGGTTTCTTGTAGTCAAGAATAAGTTACATCTCTGTAGTTCCGGAAAGAGGCATTATTCAACCTAGGAGCATCAGAAAGCACCCAATTCTTCCTGCTTAAGAGGAAAGTCATGACAAACAGACAAAAGAAGTCGGCAAGAATCCATACCCATAGTCCTTGATTATCTGAGGTCTTGGTCCATTTAACATAGTCTCGGATGGCTGTGGCACATGGGGCTGTTGTACCCGGTTGAGGCTGTTCTGCCGGCTTCCTACTGCCGAGGGCCTGAAGATCTGATCCTGGACCTGGGTGGCCACCAGCACCACTTCTTTGTTCTCGGCGGCCAGATGTGAGGTTGGGGCCATCATCTGTTGGCCAGGATGGTTAGGACTGGCTGGGTAGGAATGATCAGCTACATCAGATGCATAGGATCTGTTGCAGACAAAAACACCAAGAGGTTGTACACCTGGAGGGCAGGGATGGGGGGATGAGCAGAGGAGCCAATTGATGGGCGGGGTCTGATGGTATCTATCACCTCTTGGAACAAAGGGTTTGGGTTTGGAGGAGGAGGAGGAGATGGAAATGAAGGTAGAGATGAAAGAGAAGGAAGAAGAAAAGGAGAACAAGATGAAGATAGATATGAAGGAGGAAGGAAAAAAGGAGAACAAGATGAAGGTAGAGGTGAAGGAGGAGGAGGAGATGAAGATACAGATGAAGGAGGAGGAAGGAGAAAAGGAGAACAAGATGAAGGTAGAGGTGAAGGAGGAGGAGGAGATGAAGATACAGATGAAGGAGGAGGAAGGAGAAAAGGAGAACAAGATGAAGGTAGAGGTGAAGGAAGAGGAGATGAAGGTAGAGATGAAGGAGGAGGAAGGAGAAAAGGAGAACAAGATGGAGGTAGAGGTGAAGGAGGAGGAGGAGATGAAGATACAGATGAAGGAGAAGGAAGGAGAAAAGGAGAACAAGATGAAGGTAGAGGTGAAGGAGGAGGAGATGAAGGTAGAGATGGAGGAGGAGAAGGAAGGAGGAGAACAAGATGAAGGTAGAGGTGAAGGAGGAGGAGATGAAGGTAGAGATGAAGGAGGAGGAAGGAGAAAAGGAGAACAAGATGAAGGTAGAGGTGAAGAAGGAGGAGGAGGAGATGAAGATAGAGATGAAGGAGGAGGAAGGAGAAAAGGAGAACAAGATGAAGGCAGAGGTGAAGGAGGGGGAGGGGAAGGTAGAAGAGAAAGATGAATAGAGGGGGTATAGATAGGAAGAGAAGGAAAGAGGACAAGGATGGAAGGGAAGGGGAAGGGAAGGGACAGGTGGGAAGCAGGCAGCAAAAGTGGTGCAAGCACAATTCCCTATGTTCCAATTGGTGTCATTCACTGCTCAGCTCAGCACCACCTCCATCCAGCCAACTCCTCACCCCAATGCAGCAGTCCCTGAGCAGCAAATATTGGGATTCATTCTTTTTCTTTTTTAAAAAAGGCACTGATTTCCCTGAGTTCCCTGCAACTGCCCAAAAGAACATGCTCTCCTCCCTAAAAGCATCCCCAAAGCCCTTGGAAGTCAAAGCAAAGGAGAAGCCAAAACAACAAAGCAAAGCAAGTCAAGGCAGCCAAAGCAACGGAAGGAGGCCAAGCGAGGGGTGTCATTCACAAAACCTGCCTATTATCTGGGGACAGTGATCCTTCCGATGAAGCCATGTGATATGGGGATGGTGAGAACCTGTTATCCGGCCGGAATTCTTTATCGTAAGCCATCATGTTCCACTCCAGCCGCCGGTTTCGCGCCTTGCGCACTTTCTTCACTTCCCGGGTGGAATCCTCAACCAGTCGCTGCTCCTGGAGGGAGTTGGGTGGGGAAGAAGAAAGACCCTTCAGCACAGCCCACTCTCCCCCCATCCCTTTGGAGATGGCTCCAAAGAGCTGGGGCAACGTCCCCTCCATCCCAATTACAAAACAGCTTATTCTACATCTGGCCTTGGTGAAGGAACACGTGGGAATCTTCTCCATCCCAGCTCACCTCTGCTGTGATTCCCACCATGGCTGCAAAAGTTGATGGACTTAGCAGAGAAGGCTAAATTGACTGCTTTGACTAAAGAAAAAATACAGTTATTTTTGCTTCTATTTGGAAACCACTTCTGGACTTTGTGCTTGAGGTGGGAAAAAAAACTTTGATTCTGGGTTTTGCTGATTAGATAGCTGCTGATTTAAACAGCTTCAAAAGTTGATGGAGTTCGCAGACAGGAGTAAATTGACCGCTTTGATTAGAGAGAAGAATACAATTAATTTTGCTTCTGCATGGAAACCACTTCTGGACTTTGTGCTTGAGGTAGGAAAAAATCAAAACTTTGATTTTGGGTTTTGCTGGCTAAATAGGTTTGTTGTTTATAGAAATGGCTAGTAAATGTTATCATATAAAAGTTAAAAGTTGAGGTTATATGTTATGAGCTTATTCTACTGAACCAAAAAAAGCCGTAAGTCAACACTTGTCTTTTTTCTTTCTTCTTTTTCCTTCCCTATTTTCCTATCATTCCCGTTTTTCTTTATATTTTTGCATTTTATATTTTGATAAACGAAGAAAAATTTGTGGCACACCCCTGCTGAGTTACTTATAGAGCTGGACCATACAGCTGGATGGGAATGGGAAAGCAAAAATGAAAGGACACACCTATTTTCTTTGTAAAAAAAGGTGAGGTTCATAAAATCATAAAGCTGGAAGGGACCTTAGAGATTTTCTAGTCCAGCCCCCCACTCTAAGCAGGAGTCCTTATACCATCCTGGACAAACGGATATCCAATCTCTTTTCAAAAACCTCCAGTGATGGAGCTCCCGCAACTCTGGGAGGGAAGCTGTTCCACTGATTAATTGTTCTCACGGTCAGGAATTTTCTCCTTGGCTCCACATAAACACCTTCCTGTCTTCTATTATTTCTAGATGGAAATTTAGCTGCATCTACAGCCAGTCCCTGCCTTACAGCCGTTCATTTAGTGACTGTTCAAAGTTACAACAGCAACCTGAAAAAAGTGAGACTCGGCAACCAGTGTGTATTTACAACAGTTGCAATCTCCTGGGATCATGTGACTGGCCATCTGCAATCTTCCCAGCCGGCCTCCGACCGGCAAAAATCAATGGGGGGAGCTGGATTTGCTTAACAACTTTGTGACTCACTTAACAACTGCAGTGGTTCGTTTAAACATTGTGGCCGAAAAGCCTGTAAAATCAATCTGCAGAAATCCTCAGTCAGTGATGGTGAACTTTTTAGCGACCGAGTGCCCAAACTGCAACCCAAAACTCACTTATTTATTGCAAAGTGCCAGGGCCACATCAGCATTGTGGTCCCCTCGCAGAGGGGGGCAGGGAGGCGCCTCTGAGTGCCGCCTCTGGCATGCAAAAACCCGGGGTGCAAAAATGGGCCACCGTGCTGCAAGGTGCAAAAACGGCTGCCGCCACGCCGCGGGGTGCAGATAGAAGGCGCTGCACCACGCAAGAACAGGGCAGGGCTAGTGAGCATCACGCAGGCACTAGCCCCGCCCCATTTGCAGCACGTGCGTGCTCACAGCCCTGTGCGCGCACGCACGCATGTAAAATGCTTCCCCCTCCCTTTTCTTCGAGTCCACCAATCGACAATGGTTGGTGACCTTTGCTCTACCACCTCTACTGGAGCTTGCTAGTCAACCGCTTCACGTCCTTTGTGCTGGATGGGGCTCCTGCTCTGGGCGGCGGCGGCGGTCTGATGGGCCTGCTTCTGGCAGCAGTGGTGCATGGGCTCTGAGTGCCGCCTCTGGCACGTGTGCCATAGGTTCGCCACCACTGTCCTCAGTCATCCAGATCAGGGGTAGGCCACCTTGGCTCTTTTATGACTGGTGGACTTCAACTCCCAGAATTCCTGAGTCAGCCATGCTGAGGGGAAAGGGAGAGGTTTCCATGCTGAGCCATGCTGGCTCAGGAATTCTGGGAGTTGAAGTCCATGAGTCATAAAGGGGCCATAGTTCCCTCATGCTGGCTCAGGAATTCTGGGACTTGAAGTCCACGAGTCATAAAAGAGCCAAAGTTGCCTACCCCTGATCCAGGTCATGGTTGTCTCAAAAGTGCTTTTTCAAAAGGCGCCTGGACTGTTTTTTTCCTGCATTGGTTCTGGCAGGATGAGGGAGGGGCTAGGGAGGGATTAGTTCGTTAGGGTTGTAAAATCAGGGCCAACTCCCTTAACCCCCTGGTCCCAATTGTGGAGGTAAGCCAAGGGCTGCGTGGTGGACCACCTGCCACGAACTCCAGGTTCTGCAGCTGTTTTTTACCTTCTGCCTGCGTTTCTCTTTCCTCTTGTCTTCTGTGGCTTGCAACATCTTCTCTTTCCACAAGTTAAAGAAATAGGACGGGTCCGTGTAGAACTTTAAGCCATCTTTCTTATCATCCCTGAAACAGCAAGCGGGAGGGAAGGAGGACAAGAAAGAGAGCAAGGAGAAAAGAAAGGGAGAGCTGTTTAGGAAGGGCACAGCTGCAGCACGATCCACTGTTGGTTTCCTCCTTGCCCTGAGAAGCTGGGTCAAGTGAGGTAGGCAAGGAAACTTATGAAGCGGTTTTAGTTTCAGAACAGCATGAGAACTTTTGAAAAAGAAATGTGCTTCTGCAACGGAACATTTTAATGGTTCATATCTACTCAAGAGAAATCTCAATAGTCCGACAGCTTGATGTTAAGTAATTCAACAGCTCCAAACAAAGAGAAATTAAAGAAATCAGAGGAGGAGGAGCAGGAGGAGGAGGAGGAGGAGGAGGAAGGAGAGGAGAGGAGAAGGAGTAGGAGTTGTTGTTGTTGTTAAATCCTTTTCTGGGTTCTTCCCAACAAGATAATGAGGGAAAGGGAAGGGAGGGAAGGGAAGGGGAGGGGAGGAGGAAGAGGAGAATGGCGGAATCCAGCAAGAACATTGAGATGCAGCATCCTGCAAGTCCCCCTTTTATAGAGTTACTGTATCCTACATTTTGTGCAGGATAAACACTCTCTTGAAATTTGGGGAAGGATTGAGAGTTGCCCAGTTCAAAAAGAAAGAGCAAGAGACCGTTTCGGTGCAAGAGGCTTCAAGCAATATTTCTCCAACCGCTTCCTTAGTTGTAAGCCGCCTAGAGTCGCCACGAAGCTAGAGGGGCAGCATATAAACTTAATAAAGCAAATCAATCAATCAATCAATCAATCATTCCCACCCTTGTCATAATCCAAATTATAAATCGATAACACACTTTTGAAGATTACTGTCGCCCTCCGCCAAACACTTTCCTAGACCTCCCACTTTGTGGATCTCCATTGTCGTAAAGACACGCTTCCTCTGGGCACCAATTTCCAGCCTATCCCTGGTCAAATTCCTTCCTTTAAGCCAGGGGTCTCCAACCTGGGCCACTTTAAGACTTGTGGACTCCAACTCCCAGAATTCCCCAGCCAGCATCGCTGGCTAGGGAATTCTGGGAGTTGAAGTCCACAAGTCTTAAAGTGGCCCAGGTTGGAGACCCCTGCTCTAACCCTTACAATGGATGCAAACCCACCAGCTGTGCCCCTCCCCCACCCGACCTGTACGGAGTGAGGATATTTAAGGGCGGAGGCTTATCACAACGCTGGTACATCTCCATCACAGGATTGGGAATCGAATTGCGCGACACCACCTGCTGGTTCTGGATGGTTGAGCTCTTGAAAGCTTTCCGCATGTTGATATCCTGTAGGGAGACTGGAAGACACAAACCAGGCACTCTTTAGGATACGCTTGTGGCCCTGTCTCATACACAAAACACACCGGCACAATCGTACACACGCACACACATGGCCCCCGGCAAAACCTGCTGGTGCTTTTTCAAGAGGCAACTGGACTTCGTTTTTCCTTGAGGACATTGCACTACTCATCCAAGAAGCTTCTTCGGTTCAGACTAAATGGGGGAGAATGGAAGGATTTATACTCCTTGCAATCATCTGGTCATTAGTACTCTCTCTGAGAATCATTGAGGCCACTTCCGCATCCATTTGCACTATTCAGATGTCTCCGAGGGCACAGATGAACCTCCAAGTGGCCTCAATGACCCTCAGAAAGAACGCTAACCACCAGATGACTCCAAGGAATACAAATTCTTCCCTTCTCCACCATTCAGTCCGAACTGAAGAAGCTTCTTAGATGGAAAGTGAAATGTCTTCAAGGAAAAACAAAGGAAGTCCAGTTGCTTCTTGAAAAAACACCTTTGGAACATAGACAACCTGCTGGACAGTTGATGCAAGATCATCATCATTCATCATCATCACTGGCATCCTTCAGTCTCAAGAGACTATGGTATCGTGCTCTGGAAAGAGGTCCTAAGGCAGCATCTGGTGTGGCTGAAAAGGCCAATTTGAGAATCTGTCCCCTGTCCAGCCCCCAGATTTCGCTGGTTCCGGGACTGCCTCTTTGCCTCAGCCTGCCGCACAAGTGTCTCTTCGAATTGGAGAAGGCCATGTTGCATCTTTAGCCTCCAGGCTGAATGATCAGAGGTCAAGGATTCCCAGCTGTTAATGTCCATTCCCAAGGCCTTTAGGTCCTTCTTGCAGATATCCTTATATCTCAGCTCAGGTCTCCCTCTGGGGCGCTTTCCCTGCACTAGTTCTCCATACAGGAGATCTTTCAGAATCCGACCATCAGCCATTCTCACGACATGCCCAAGCATGATGTAAGATATCGACCCAATTATCAAATGATTTTAAATGTGATTTTTATTAATATGGTTTTTAGCCAGCAGAGGGTAGGAAGCAGAAAGACTGTCATAAATAAAAATGTATTGGTATTATGTTGTGTGCTGTGCAGAAAGTTAGGAAAAAAATAAATCTACAGCACTAAGACTAAATAACTCACTAAAAGCTGGCATCCGGAGAGAGTGGGGTCTTCTCATACCTACCATCTATCAAAGCTGGCTGAATTTTGCACACAATCACAGAGAATGTGGCCATTCTGTGACTTACAAAGACATTTTGTCAGAAGATAATAAGGAGGCACTGAAGGGGATGTGGGAAATGATGATATTTGTCAACGAGTGGACGAAATATGACAGAGAGAGAGAGAGAGAGAGAGAGAGAGAGAGAGAGAGAATGGGCTGAATAACGGAAATCTATTCACTCTGACCATCAGTACCTTCTTCCACTGTGGAGTCCAGCTGAGTGACCTTGATCACCAAAAGATCCACTCGTTCCTGCAGGGAATTCATCCGCAAATAAAAGCTGTTGGCCTCGTTGAAGAGTTCGCCAAAAATATCTTCAGCGTGTCTGCCTGAAAAGAGGGGTTAAAAGAGGAGGCCGTTTGAGGTCTGCAGAGACATGAGATGGTCTTCAAAAATGGTTTTGGGAAACCAGAAGGAGAAGCCATCATAAGCCACCGGATGAGATGTTCTAGATTAGTGTTTCTCAACCTGGGGGACATTAAGATGTGTGGACTTCAACTCCCAGAATTCGAGTACTAAAACTTTAGGTGTTCTTGATTCTATCCCTCTATTAATGCAGCCTGGGATTCCATTTCAAGTTGGTTGAAAGTTGCCTAGAGTTGCCTCTCGGCAGGATAGGTAGCATATAAATTATTAAGTTAGTTAAGGTTAAAGTTAAAGTTAAGGTTAAATTAAATTAAATTAAATTATTAAATTAAATTAAATTTAGATTTGTGGATCTGAAAGGGACTTGGAGGCTCTCAAGCCCAAATCTCTCTGAGCCACATCGTAATTCGGCCCCGTCTGATCAGCCGCCATGAAGGAGGACGTGAGAAACCTGCCCACTTACTGAGGCTTCCCAACTGTTTAATGATGGCGGCCAAAGTGCTGTTGGTCACGCACTCCAACTCGCTGGTCACCCCATCAGGAAGGGCCCCCCGGCAAAGATGGCGGGGCTCGATATTGCGCTTCACCAACGGCATCTTGGCGAGGAGTCAGTGGGCTAAGCCTGCAATAAAGAGAAGAGAGAAAGTTTCATTTTCTTTCGGAATGTGATTCCGAAGCGGCCTTCAGTAGGCACTGAAATTTGCAGAAGTTGTGAGCTCCTTGGTGCTCTCTGAGCTTGTGTTTTCTAGCAGATGTTTCATTACCCAATTAGGTAATGTCATCAGTACTAGAAGGGAGGGGGGTTTGTAGAGAAGAAGAAGAGGAGGAGGAGGAGGAGGAGGAGGAGGACGACGACAACTGTGGCATCCTTGGTGCTCTCTGAGCTTGGTGGTTTTCTTGCAGACATTTCATTACCCAATTAGGTAACATCATCAATTCTGGAAGGGGGTAGGGTTTGGGGGAGGAGGAGGAGGAGGAGGAGGAGGATTGTGTGGTCCCTGGTGCTCTTTGAGCTTGGTGGTTTTCTTGCAGACATTTCACCCAATTAGGAAACATCATCAGTGCTAGAAGGGAATGAGGTTTGCAAATTGGAGGAGGAGAAGAAGAGGGGAAGGGAAAGAAGGAGGAGAAAAACTGTGGAGTCCTTGGTGCTCTCTGAGTTTGGTTTTTTTCTTCTTTCATTACCCAACTAGATGACATCATCAATTTAATAAGTAAGGAGAAAAAGAAAATACCCAAACTTAACATGGGAATATGGAGATATTCACTTAAGCTTGGTTACCTTTGGGTACCGAGAGGGGTTTTCGTGAGTTTGCAAAGAGAATAAACAATATTTTTGTTTTATTCTGACAGCTCAGAGCCATTTCTTGAAGACTGCCCCCAACCCGGGATCCAGCATGTTACTTTAGCCTGATTACTGAATTAGTCCATTTGCTGGGTTGATGCAATAGACTGAACCAGGAACAAACCAACTGAGTTGAGTACACACAGCTGAAACTCTTGCATACCTTACACATCCTGTTCAAAACAAACCAAGGTCTGAATATTGGCTATTGCAGATTTGTAACTAGCTCTCATGAAACTTTGCCAGATAGACTGTATTGGGAGATGGAAACTGACCCCCAAACCCATGTTCTGGATCATGTAGGTCTGTATGCTAGAATGTTGGCATTTATTGAGTTAAGTGCTGTCTCCTTAAGAGATGGCTTATGGGTAATGTAGTTTAGCTACTCAGCTGTCCCATGTTAATAGGTCAGTAGGAGGAGGAAAGGAGGAGCCACTAAAGTTCATCACCAGATATCCTGGCCATGGGCCAGTTTGAAATGTTCTTTGTCTGATATAAGCATGGGGCCATCGGATGACTCAGATGGGCCCACTCCACGTAAGAAGTTGATGTGGAGAAACTAATGAATTTACCTAATGAAGATGAACAGATTGCAATATCCAGACAGAATCTACAAATAGCAAGTATTGCTTTCTGACTGAATAAATATCTGTTTTGGAATCATCTTTATTTGAGTTTATCTGTCTGTGATTGGATTACAAAGGCATTTTGATTCATGTCACAGAACAGTATCTAACCCAGTGTTTCTCAACCTCAGCAACTTTAAGATGGGAGGACTTCAACTCCCAGAATTCCCCAGCCAGCATGACATCATGACATCATGACATCAGGGATTAGTTTTTGAATTTAATTCATTTAAATTTTAAAATGTAAATGCACGTTCCTTTTTTAAAATTATTTTTTTCTAGCCTCGGCTGCACAAAGAGCTGAAAACTCTGCCCGGTCTGTCTATGAAGTGATACTTGGCTGTTAATAAATAGACAGAGCCTCCCACACACTCAGTACATTTATTTTATGGTTCCAGTCAGTGGACAGGAATTGGGGAGGAAGCCTGCATGTTCAACAGCACCATTTTGCCTTCAGTGTTTTGTGGGTACTATGGACTCTGAGTTTGGCAAAAATGGGCCCTGGGGATTGGGATGAAAGCTGCCGCCTCTGTGTTGCCAATTCTGTTAAATTCTGGCAACTGTGAATCCCTAGATATTTGGAGAAGAACCTTTCCACCAGATTGCAAGAACATGAATGGTCAGACAAGGAGAACCAAACTTATTGGTAGCTTCACTTTGCAACGAACAAGGACATACATTCAAATTTGCTCCTCAAAACACGAAGCTGAAAACACCAGGCTGAAGATGACGAATGGGACTTCATTGAAACATCGCCAAGACACTTCCAATTTGACGCGGGAGAAAACCCAAATAACCAAAGACCTACATACAAACACCAGCGAAAACCTCAGAAATATATATATATATTCAGTAAAAAAGGGAGCGATCACCAGGAAATAAAACACCAAGGTTTTAATAAATAAAATCAAGCTTTCGATGGCTAGCACCTGCCATCATCGTCAGGATACAAGCTAGCTAGTGAGGAAACCTGCTTATAAGCATAGCCACACCTAAACTCTACGCATGGACCTTGTAACAGGTCCAAGCCGACTAATCCTTACTTCACTTACAGCCTTCAGTGATTCTTTCTTGTAGCTCTTACTTACATCCACACAACCACCCACTTCCCCCCTCCCTTTAGTTCCTGAGTCATATAGGCAACGTGTGTTTCTCAAAGTTAAAGGGTCCTCTGCACTATTGAGTTGATTCTTCTTCCTGTGTTCCTCGGGACGTTTCTTCTTTCGGCACAAAGCTGAAAACACCAGCCTGAAGATGACGAATGAGACTTCGTCGAAACGTCGCCAAGACACTTCCAATTTGACACGGGAGAAAACCCGAATAACCAAAGACCTACATCCTACATACAAACACCCGCAAAAACCTCAGAAAACATACACACACACACACACACATATACATATATATGTCTTTGGTTATTCGGGTTTTCTCCCACGTAAAATTGGAAGTGTCTTGGCGACGTTTCGACGAAGTCTCATTCGTCATCTTCAGGCTGGTGCTTTCAGCTTCGTGCTTATATATATATATATATATATATATATATATATATATATATGTGTGTGTGTGTGTGTGTGTGTGTGTGTGTGTGTCTATCTGTGTGTGTGTGTGTGTGTGTGTGTGTGTGTGTGTGTGTGTGTGTGTAAAATGCAGTGTTATCTTCAGTGGGAAACAGGTCCAAGTGGTTCTTTGAGTGTTTTGGGTTGCCTACACCTGCCCTAAACTCTGCTGAAGATGTTACCAAGCCTTGTAACAAAAAGTTCGGAAACCAACAAACCTTCGTCATCATCCTACACCCGAGCTATGGATATTCGCCACTATCGCAAATGCTGATCTTTCGTGGATCTTCTGATTATGTTGATTGGGGAGGAAAGATTTCCAATGTGAGCAGTCCTTGGTGCTCTCCGAATTTGGTTGTTTTGTTGCAGAAGTTTCATTACCCAAACTAGGTAACATCATCAGTGCTAGAAGGACATGGGGTTAGTGAAGGAGAAGGAGGAGGAGGAGAAGAAGGAGAAGGAGGACTGTAGGGTCCTTGGTGCTCTCTGAATTTGGTTGTTTTGTTGCAGAAGTTTCATTATCCAAACTAGATAACATTATCAGTGCTAGAACGACGTGGGGTTTGTGGAGGAGAAGGAGGAGAAGAAGAAGGAGAAGGAGGACCGTAGGGTCCTTGGTGCTCTCCAAATTTGGTTGTTTTGTTGCAGACGTTGCATTACCCAAATTAGGTAACATCATCAGCACTGACTGTTAGCACAATAGCACTGATGATGTTACCTAGTTTGGGTAATATAATGTCTGCAAGAAAACAGCCAAGCTCAAAGAGGACCCTTCATTTCAACCCTAAGCTACAAATATTCTCCTCTATTGATTTGTTTTGGAAGGAAACTCTTCTAGATCCCTTCTCACGGCTCTTCTGGTGTCCTACCAACTGACGGTCTTCTGAATTCCACAGATGGGCTACCAGGCCCCAGAGGGACGGGAAGTTTGGGAGAGGCTGCATTTAACAGCCCACTTGAAAGGAACAGCTGAAAAGAGCTGAAACAGCTGCCAACGGACAGGCAAGCAAATGCCTTTTTCTGCCCTCACGGGGTCAACTTGCAGTCCAAAAAGAAGAAAAGAACTGGACGCACCAGAAACGACCAACAAAATGAATTCTGAGCTCCATCCTGTCCCAACGGAACTCTGCAGAAAGACCCCGAGAATTTTGACCCAAGAGATTTCATGACAACATGGAAAGACCATTTCCTTCTTCCCACATCTATTCATTAAGCAGCTGGAGAAGGAAACCAGCTTCTTGGGAGTGACTGATGGAGTTGAATGCCGGGCTACCCAGCTGTGCCTCATTGAAATGCTTGTCTTTGCAACCTTTTCCAGAAATCTGCATTAGGCACGCTGAAAATCAGAGCTATTTAGTTCTGCCAATAGCGAAGCATAGAAAGGAGAGCAAAATGATCCTGGTCTTCTTTGAAGCTTTGGAGACCTCACAGCTGATGCGTGTGCTCTTTCCTTGGGATGTTACAGAAGCCCACCAGCGTAAAGGATACCCTGATCCCAGCATAAAACAGCAGAACTTCTGGTTTCAGTGTTAACCAGTTGTCAACTCTACAAATGAGCATGGCTGCAGCCATTTTTCCTACTCATTTTCGGTTGCCACACAAAGTGGAGGGAGGGGGGCTGCCCAGGTGCTTCTCTAGTCTAAATAATCTTTTGTCCCGTGGGAACCAAGGTCATCGGCTGCTCCTGAGACTGCAGGCTGGGTGTTGCGTAAAAAGCCCGCCAAGAAGGTGTATTGGGGAACGTAGTTGCTTGCACAGTTTTCGGGGAGGGATTTTTTAACTTTGTATTGGGGAATTGTTACGTGTGTCTCCAGACTTGGTTTAATGTCGTGGTTCCGACAGACAGAGACAAATAAAGCAGAACTCCAAGGCTTGCAAATGCCTCAAAGAACATGTTTATTAGTTGCAAAGTATCGGCATGTCAAAAGTGAAACCAAGTCTGGAGACACACGTACAGGCAGTCCTCGAGTTGTGACGTAATGGAGACTGGTAAGAGAGACGTTCCCTGAGGATGGGCCCAGCACGAGTCTGGAAACTCAGAAGACTAAGCTTCTAGTTCTGGTGGCCGAGCCAGATTGGATCCTGCAACAATACC